AAAAAAAAAAAAAAAACTATTTTCTCTGATGCTGTAATAGTGGATACACGATACTATGCATCTATCAAAACACATAGAACTTTGCAGTAAGAGTGAACCTTAACATATATATTGACCTTAATGTGTGCATTAGTCAATCATTATTAACGTAAAATGTATACAAATTCTAAGCAATCATTTAGCAGGTCAGGGGATCCCAGATAGAACAGACTATGACAAAACAATCTAACTGTATTATAAATGTATGAAACAACCTCTCTGAAGGGGGTTGAGGGAAAGGGGTGCTGACCTCAGCAACTCTGGAAATGAGTGGAGTCTGTAAGACTGAAGGCAAAAGACCTGCATGTCAGTACTGTACTGTAGGTGTTAAGGTTGTCTCCACAAGTATATGGGCTAACAATTCTGAAACCATTATACATGTATACTGGAAATGAAAGATTAAGTCAAGGGATGACAGATGGTGGGATTCTGGGTTCTCACTTTTGAAGTAGAAGTTACAGATAAACAAGGGAAGATAGCCAGATGACTCAGGCAGGAATGGATTAGTCTGGTAAGACATCAGAATGAACTCATGCCTAGCTTACAGATACACACACACATAACACAAATGTGTGTATATATATGCATACATATTTATAAATATGTGTCTGTAGAGGGTTTATATTCACCCATATATTTATTTGCTCTGTCAGCTGAGAAGGCCTAGAAACAATGACATCTCACTAGCAATGACTGCACCTAGTATCAGAGTTTCTTGGTGTCTAATACCATTTTCCAATGAAGAAACCAGAGATCCTTGGAGAAATGGCAGATTCTAGGTCTGGGGCATCTTGTGCCAGAAAGTAAGGAAGTACTCAGCAAAATACAACAATGGGAGTATGTCAAAAGGACACCATAGCCACCTGAAAGAGCTCTCAATGGCCAAAGTAGGAACAATTTGAGACCCAAAATAAATGAAGCAGTATTAGATTATAACCCAAAGTATAAAATAAATATCCATGGGCCCACACCGATATATTTTTTATTTTATTTATTTTATTTTATTTTTGAGACAGGTCTCACTCTGTCACCCAGGCTGGAGTGCAGTGGCTCACCGCAGCCCTGACCTCCTGGGCTCAACTGATCCTCCTGCCTCAGCCTCCCAAGTACCTGGGATGACAGGTGTGTGCCACGACACCCAGCCACATTTTCAATTTATTATTGGTAGAGAGGGAGTCTTGCTATGTTGCCCAGGCCCATCTTGAACCTCCTGGGCTCAAGTGAGCGGTCAACCGTGGCATCCCAAAGTGCTGTGCTGGGAGTACAGGCTTAAGCCACCCTACCTGGCCTGATACAAATAAAAAATTGAATAAATAAATAAACAGGAGAGGAGAGACAAACTCCTATGCAGAATTCCATAGTTTCTGTAGCGACCCTGCACTTAAGGAAGTGGAGCATAATTCCCCATTCCTTAAATGTGGCCTAGGAATAGTGACTTCATTCCAAAGAGTACAGTGTGGAAAGAGAGAAAAAAAAGAATAAGTTTAGGCTGGGTGTCGTGCCTCATGCCTGTAATCCCAGCACTTTGGGAGGCCAAGGTGGGCAGATCACTGAGGTTAGGAGTCCAAGACCGGCCTGGGCAACATAGTGAAACCCCATTTCTACTAAAAATACAAAAGTTAGCTGGGCATAACAGCATGCGCCCGTAGTCCCAGCTACTCAGGAGCCTGAGGCAGGAGAATTGCTTGAACCTGAGAGGTGGAGGTTGCAGTGAGCCGAGATTGCACCATTGCACTCCAGTCTGGGCCACCGAGTGAGACTCTATCTCCAAAAAAAAAAAAAGTAAGTTTACAATGGAGCAGCCTGGCAAACACCACCTAGATTTCCAGAGCAAAATTTCCTAACCATGGTTGCAATCCCACCCTGGAATGTTTTATCTGTGTGGCACTCTCAGATCAAGAAATGAGAAATGCCAGGTGATCAAGATGAACATCAACAGTGATAATTCATGTTGATAGCCTGTGCCCTTGATATGATGCCATGAGAATGACACTTTACCTCTGTGGTCTTCCTCCTCCAAACCCATAACCCCAGTCTCATCACAAGAAAAACATCAGACAAATCCCAACTGAGGGACATTATACAAAATATCTCTCTAGTACCCCTCAAATTGTCGAGGTCATCAAAAACAAGGAAAGACTGAAAAATCTACCACAGCCAAGAGGAGTCTAAGGAGACACACAGACTAAATGTCACAGTGGCTTCAAGGTGTGCTTGCTGTTCCTGGGATAGAATGCTAAGGTGGGGTGGGGCCACCAACAGATACCTATGCACAGCTTAGAGAAGCATTTCCATGAGTGCACCGATCTCTACTAAAAATACAAATCGATCTTCCTGGCCCCCTCCCCTCCCCTTCCCTCCGTTCCTGCCCCTCTCTCCTTCCCTCTCGTTCCCTCCCCTTCCCTTTCCTCCGTTCCTGCCCCTCTCCCCTCCCCTCCCCTTCCCTCTGTTCCTGCCCCTCCCCTCCCTTCACCTTCCCTCCGTTCTTGGCCCCCTCCCCTCCCCTTCGCTCCCCTCCCAGACGTTCCTGGTCCCCTCATCTCCCTTCCCTCCTCTCCCCTCCCCCACCTTTTTTTTGAGACGGTGTCTCCCCAAGTTGGCCTGGTTGGTCTGGAACTCCTGAGCTCAAGCGATCCGCCCTGCTCAGCCTCCCAAAGTGCTGGGATTACAGCACTTCCATGACTTTTTAATAAATTTATACAGTTGTGCAACTGTCACCACAATCCACTTTTATTTTTCACAATCCACTTTTAGAACATTTCTGTTACTGCTTTCCTTCAATTTCTCCAAGCCCATCTGCATTGAATCCCCGCTCCCACACCTCGCCCCAAGTAACTGTGCTCTCTGTCTTTGTAGATTTGCCTAGTGTAATTTATTTTTTACTTCGGCAATATGAGGAGGTCGTGCAAAATAGAGGCTATTTAGGAACAGGCTAGGCGGACTTAAAACTGATGGAAAGTTTAAAATTGTTTAAAAGTGTGCTATAGTTTTACATGATTTTTTTAAAAAAGAGGAAAGGTGAGGAGAGGTTCCAGTCTGGGGCGGCCAGGACTGGGTGATGGTTCTGGAGCGGACAAGAGAAGTCACTCGAGAAGGAGAGCCCTCAAACCGCGCCCGCCCCGCACGAGGCGGGATCCACTCCCAGCCAACCCTCTCCGCCCCGGGGCGGCCGCCTTCCTCTCGCGCAGGCGCAGTGCTCCTGCTTCCGGGTCGACGGCGGGCGGGCGGAGCCTGTATTCACATCGATCTGAGCGCTGGCGATTGCTTCTGTCTGTTGTTTAGCTATGGAAGCTGCCGGGATGCAGCGAGGCCGCCGGAACCCCGGTCGGGGTCTAGTTTGGTGCTGACCGCCACCCGGGGTCGAGTAGACGATGGGGGAGCCTGGCTTCTTGGTCACGGGAGACCGCGCCGGTGGTCGGAGCTGGTGCCTGCGGCGGGTGGGGATGAGCGCCGGGTGGCTGCTGCTGGAAGATGGGCGTGAGGTAAGGGGGAAGGGGTCCTGTGGGGCGGAGGGCAGGGGCTGGAGGGAGCGGGGCTCCGGGGAGGGAGGAAGGCGTCTAGCTGGGCGGAATGAATGGCAGAGAGGAGGCGGGCACACGGATGGCGAGCGAGGTGTCTGTATGGGGTGGATCCTGGCGAGAGAAGGGAGGGAGCGGTTCTGGCTCGAGCGGCTGAAGGGTCTAAGGTGGGAGGTATTTGGGGAGAAATAGGACCCGAGTGGGAGAAAGGAAGAGATGAGAGTTCGGCTCTGGAGGGCCACAAGGATTGGGGTGAGGACGAGGCCTGGCCTGTGGGCGGCGGGTCGAGAAGAGGGCCCAGCCCAGAGAGGCCTGGGCCTACGGGGAGTGGGGTCGGGGCCGGGAAGGAGAGGGACGCGCAGAGGTTTTGAGGAGACGCGGGGTTGTCGAGGAGTGGAGGGCGGGGCCTGGCCAGATCCCGTTTAGGGCGCACGGAACCCCGCGGTGGCCTGCCAGGGAACGGTGGGTTGGAGCCTTCGAGCTGCTGGGCAGCCGAGGCGGGGCCTGGAAGGGCTGCCCGGCGCGTGAACTTTCTTGAGTTTGCCTTGAAAACGATTGCGAGTTTTGGGTTTTGTCCCTTAAAGTGATCAAACTCTCACGTAGAAATGTCTTTTTCCTTCCCACCTCTGAGGAACAGGGGCGCCTTAGACTGGGCCACATTTCTCCCGTGAAGCTCGGTACGGCCGAGTGGCACCGCTAGAGGAGGGGTCGGGCAGGGATTCCGAGTTTTCTCCAGAGGATGCCTGTCGCCTTTGTTAATGCAATCCCAAATGAAAAATTTTTAAAGGGGAAAGATGAGGCACGTTCCTGGCACGGTTCAAGATGCACCACCGTGGTGCATCTTCAAAGGGTGAGGAAAGGGAGGATGGAGTTAGATTGCAATCAGGTTAAGAGGAGAACTGGGTCAGGGACAAGCTGGTGATGACGGGAAACCATTTGGGTTTTGGAAATAATCTGTATGAAAGGTTCACTTTGCAATAAAAGTGGATAGTTGGTCATGATGTTGTAAACTCAAAAAGTCTTTGAGTCTTGCGTATGTTCAGGTAGATTTTTCCTGTAAGTCATACTCCTCAGTTCAGTCTGCCAGGTGTTGACTGAATACTTAACATTGGTGTACAATGAGAACACATAAAATTTGTGCGCTCAAAGAGTTTAAGGCTTGAGGGGGGAGAGAGGATTTATGCAATGAAGCGGTCTAAGAACTGCATATGGGCTGTATGATCAAGTGCCAAGATAAGGATTATTTAGTTCCATCCCAGAGCAGTAGTTCTTCAGGTCAGGGGAGGGATTCATGTCCAGGCTCAAATTTAGTTGCTACATTAGAGAGGGTTATAAAGGGTTACTTGTATGTTGTGATTTCGGGAACACTAAGAAAACATCTCTGTCCCCAAATACCTCTTCTATCCAGGTATTAGTGCCTAAAAGTCCACATTAGGCATTCATGCTTTTAGCTTGAGCACTGATCTTTCCCTGTGTGGCCCTTTCCAACAGTATATGTTTGTGAGAAGTTTAACAAATTAAAACATCAACACCTGAATAATAACCTGAACAATACATACAAAAATAAATTATTTTTATGTATAACTGTTACTTAATACATTATTTAATCTGATCCCTACATGCATACACACAACCTTTTAAGTTAACTTAGTGGGCAGGTGTTACTCCTGTAGATTCAATTGTTGTGGATTAATTTATCTTCTGAATAGCTTGGTAGTACTGCAGTCTTGGGCAGGTGGGATGGGGAGGAAGGATTAAATCACCTGTAGGAAGGGCAAGAAGACTATAAAGCACTCTTAGACATATTCTAAACCATTTGATCGTTTTGTGTCAGGGCCACTTCTATGGGGAGAGACCCATACAAACTGAGTGAATGATGAAGACACAGTGTTAAGACTGGCTGGCTTCAAGGACCTGTGTGGAGGAGAGGCCTGCCAGGCTTGGCTGCCTGCAAGGTCAGGTCATGGCATAGCCTGAAAAGAAATCTGAATCAAAGGCAAGAGAAGTTGTAGTTATTGTAATGGCCCCCAAATCATAGCACAAGCTGTTTCACACAAGATTTTAGGAGGTATGCTAATAACATTGTAACAGCAAAGGTAGGTCAGTTCCCTGCCTTTCCCTTTCCTAGTCTCAGATGTTGCAGATAAAATAATAAAACAGTTCCTTTCATTTCATTGATGGGACTAGTGGAGTAAATTGTCTGTCTAAATAAGTGGCTTTAAGCTTGTTAAAGCAATGCATAAAGTTTGGTGGAAAAACAATTAGAGATTTATTGCAAATTAGCTAGTTCTCAGGTACTGTAAAGTATCTTTGCCTTTGAGGAAAACAACAGAACCTTTCTCCCCTTTTCTTCTCTTGTATTTAGTTTTCATGAATTTTTCTGCCCCAAGGGAAAGGATGGTTGTATTCACTGGTTTGGGGCTTTTTGTTTTGTGGGGCTTTTTTTTTTTTTGACAGAATACTCCATCACCCAGGCTGGAGTGCAGTGGTGTGATCACACCTCCACCTCCTGGGTTCAAGGATTCTTCTGCCTCAGTCTCCCAAGTAGCTGGAATTACAAATGCGCACTGCTATCCCTGGCTAATTTTTGTATTTCCAGTAGAGAGGGAGGTTTCGCCATGTTGGCCAGGCTGGTCTCGAACTCCTGGCTTCATGTGATCTGCTCACCTGGGCCTCCCAAAGTGCTGGAATTACAGGTGTGAGCCACCACACCCAGCTGTATTTACTGGTTATTTGGGAAACAGTAGAAATTGTGCCCAGGAGGAAAGGGGTAATAATCATAGTGAAGGTGGACAAGGACAAGATGATCTTTTAGACCAATAATGTGTGTAAGCTCAAAGACTTGCAAATCTATTGTAAATGAAAATGGCCCCTCACATATGTGTCATCAGTCAATTCCCATGGGAAATTTAGTGTTCTGCTGAGTGGTCCTAAGATTTCCAGGTAGCCTCATTGCACTCTTTTATAGTATAGGTGAAACATCAGTAGTACCAAGGTAAATTCTGGGACCGGGCAGCACAGGGAAGGATGTAAAACAATGTTTCCTTTTTCTGGGTTCAGAGTCTGTTGGTGGAAATTTCAGAAGAAGGCACTCTTCTACTTTTTTGGTACCATTTTCCCCAGGCTACTCACAATGGCAGCCTGGCTGTCTCCCTTCAAGTATTAGCCTACAATACAGGACGCTTCCTCTCTTAGAGATAAAGCTACCTGAATGGAAATTTTTACTGAATATGGATGACAGATAAATCCCTAACCATTCCATTTTTAACAGATATATGTATTAATTCAGAGGAACTTCTATAATTAATGTAATTCTGGCAAAGTGTTAAAGAACTGAAAAACTTCATGCTCAGTGTTGGTGGAGTGGCCACCACAGCATTTTAAAGTGAGACCATATGAGTTCCAACTGCTGCTCCACATTCTCCAATGGTAATACAGTCTCCAACTTCTGACCTAAAAATACCCATCCTAAAATCTCCACTCATACGCAAGATCTCTATTCTTCCATTCATTCTCAAATATTAACTGAACACCATGCCAGGTATAGAAACACAATGTTAAACCAGACAGATAAAGTCCCTGCTTGTCTTATTTATATTCTAGCAAGGGAGAGGAGGGGAAAAGTAAAATAAGCAAGATAATTTTGGTTTGTGATAAATGCATGCTAATAACTGAAGAAATATGATGGGAAGCAGACAGCCAACTTTAGACAGTGGTGATCTGAGTAGGCTTATGAGTAGCTGAAACATGAAAGATTAGGAGCTCATGCAAGATATGAGAGAAGAGTGTTCTTAGAGGGGCTAAGGGAAAAGACCCTCAGGTAGGCTGGCACTTGGGGGAGAGGGGCTTAAGGAACGAGGGGCTGGAGCAGCTAGTGTTGGCACTATGGTATAAGACTAAAGAGGAGGTGACTCAGGACATTCAGGGTCTTATAGGCCATGGAAGGAAGTTTGAATGATTAAATGGTTTTAAGGAAAGAGGAGAATTATCTGATTTAAACATTTTTTTTTAATAATTTTTTAAATTTTTATATATTTTTTAAAGATGGGGTTTCACCATGGTGGTCAGCTGGTCTTGAACTCCCGACCTCAGGTGATCCGCCCGCCTTGGCCTCCAAAGTGCTTGGATTACAGGCGTGAGCCACCACACCCGGCTGATTTAAAATTTTAACATTTCTATTCCAGCTAGTGTGTAAAGTTTATGGGGGCTAGAGTGGGAACAGAAACAGTAGGAGGCCCGGTGGTTTGGACTAAGGTTGTGGCTGCAGAGATAGAAATGAACAGACTTCAGACATATTTGGATTATATCCCATAGAATTTACCAATGATTTCAATGTGGGGATGAGGGACAGAGATGAATCAAAGATGGCTTCTGGGATATGGGTTGAGCAGTTGGTTGGATGGTAGCATCGGTACTGAGATGAGAGTTTGTGGGGAGGAGAACAGGCATGATTCTGAAAGATTTTCAAAAGAAAAGGGCAGTTTTTAGCCAACTTTGGTTTCAAGGTTAAGGTTGTAGTAATGGTCATTAAAGAGGTCTTTTATGCACTGAGAAGAATAAGCAGGGAATTCTGTGATCTGGATCTCTGAAGAATTTAGTTTCCTTCCTTCACAGGGTTGTTAGGAACTAGATTTGTCCAACAAGAAAGTATGGTAGTTGTGAATTGGGGCTTCTTTTCAACCTTTCCAAAAGCTCTCAAGCTGTTCTTGTGGATAAGACAGAGAATATGTACTCCAATGCAGAGACTTTTGGTTGAATTATAATTGGCCCAGGGTGTATCCAGACTGTGTGGATTAATGTTTAGTAGACTTTCCTGAAAACTTTGCCTTTGGCTGCATCCCATTCTGTGTCTTGAATGAAGGTATAAAAGGCATCATATCATATTAATTTGGTGGGAGGGATATTAAGTATGTCTGTTCTGATGGCAGATTAAAAATTCAGAAAGGTCTTGACAAGTTGGTGTGATAGGCTGAACTAGCAAGGTGAAATTTAGTAGGAATCAGTCTAAGGTCCTGTGCTTGAACCTAAGGTTTTCCATCTGGTCAAGTATAGAGCGAAAGAGACATGACTTAGCATAGCATTTCTTGGAGGAGGGGGAGACCAAGAAATTTAATCATTCCTGAGTCCGAGGATACACTGGCAGTGTACTAGATCTGCTATGACAGCTAATGCAGTTTATACGGTCCAGTGATAATATCTAGAACTGGGAAAGTAACACTTGCATTTGACTGTGTGATTTATTTTTCTTAATATGGCATCCAGGAATAAAGATAAACCAGCAGTCCTTTCACAGATTCGTAAGAATGGCAAAGAGACTCAAACCCATTCCCTGGAAGTTAAGTTGAAGTAACTGCCACAGAACCAGGAAATGAGAAAACTTAATGTTCACTTTGAAACTTAATGTGACTTTGAAAGGGGATCGGAGATTTCCTGATGGTGCCCAGGGCAAAGCTAGTACCAATGGATGGAATTTATAGGGTGAAAGATGCCAAGTCAAAGACACTAAAAAAATAGGAGAGCCTGCCTTATGTAAAGTACACTTCTGTCTCCGGGGTTCAAATGATTCCTGCCTCAGCCTCCCAAGTAGCTGGGATTACAGGTACCCGCTACCATACCCAGCTAATTTTTGTATTTTTAGTAGAGACAGGGTTTCACCATGTTGGCCAGGCTGGTCTCAAACTCCAGACTTCACGATCCTGCCACCTTGGCCTCCCAAAGTACTGGGATTACAGGCATGAGCAACCGCTCCCGGACCTGCAGTGTTTATGAGTCGATGGGATGTGTAGAAAGAATTCCTCTATCTCATGGTCACTGAACCAGATGACCTTTCAAGATCTTGCCAACCCTGAAGTACATGGATAGCTCTTTTCAGCTTTCTCCTCCTGTCACAACAGTTTGTCTTTTTCTACTTGGTGGCTTTCATGGCAGCTAAAGAGGAGATAGCAGATAGCACTGTTTTGGTTTCACAGGTGTCTGGTCTCTTAAGTCAGGACCTGCATATGCTGCTGGTTGACAAGCTTTGTAAAAACCTCCCTTTTCAGCACAATGACTTCTTACATTGTATTTCTTACAATATATTTCTTATATTGTTTTTGTCTTCCCAGGTGACTGTAGGACGAGGATTTGGTGTCACATACCAACTGGTATCAAAAATCTGCCCTCTGATGATTTCTCGAAACCACTGTGTTTTAAAGCAGAATCCTGAGGGCCAGTGGACAATTACGGACAACAAGGTACAGAATTCATGGAAGCCTAATGAATTTTATTTATTTTTAAATTACTTTGTTTTTTTTTTGCATATGTAATTCATAAAATTCAAAAGTATAACTTCTTTCCTAGCCATCCAGTTTCCTTTTCCAGAAGCAGCCACTTCCATATGCTACCAGAGATTAGATTATGCTAAAATAATTTCTCTTGGTTTAGGGTGAAGTTTGTTACCTTGAAGAGAATACCTGAATTGGGGTAGTAGGTCCTATTCCAAAACTAGACTAAGTTACTGGGCAAGTTAGCCTGTTTGAGACGAAGCTCCAGAGATCCTGGAAATCTGCACAATCTCCTGAAGCTTCTGGAGTACACCGTGGCTCAGTGAACAGGCAGAGAAGGAAGAAACTGATCTGACTGCGCTTAGCTCCTTTCCTTCCTCACTTTTTTTTTTTTTTTTCATTTTTTCCTTCAAAGCTACTGCAAATCACCTCACTCCTTTCAATCTGAGCAACCTTCCTTGGCTTTTAAAACATGTTTTAAATATTGGTGTTCTGAAGATTTCCTTTGAATACCAGGTTTTTCTCTTACTTTAAACAAATTTGAAAACCACTATTGTAGTGGTAAATATATTGAGGGAGGTGTAATGGTACACAGAGCCCAGCAATTAGAAAGTACCTAATGCGCTGGGTGTGGTGGCACATGCCTGTAGTCCCAGCTACTGGGGAGGCTGAGGCCAGAGGATTGTTTGAGACCATGAGTTCTGGGTTATAATGCGCTATGCCATTCTGGTGCCTGCATTAGGTTTGGCATCAATATAGTGTCGTCCTAAGAGCAGGGGACCACCAGGTTGCTTAAGCAGAGGTGAACTGACCCAGGTTGGTAGCAGGGCAGGTCAAAACTGCTGTGCTGGTTAGCAATGGGATTGCACCTGTGAATAGCCACTGCACTCCAGTGTGGCTGACATGGTGAGGCCCTGTCTGTATCAAAAAGAAAAGAAAATGCCTAAAGTGCAGATGTACATGCACCCAGGAATACAGTGAAAACACAGACTATGAGGTGAGAGAAATTCTAATGTAAACAGTTAAGATCTAGGGAGTATAAAATGTCCTTAAGTACCATATCATACTGCTTCACTGCCCTGGTTAGGATTTTAAAGGTACCATTAGAAGGGAGGATATTCCAGATCTGCCCGGCAGCCCCATTTTGCATGCATAAAACTGCTAGATTTAAGCTGCTGGAAAGTATCTTCCTGTTCTAGTATTAAGTTCAGTTGGCACTGTATTGAAGGAGACAGTATATAAATGCCAAGTAAATTGGTTCAGCACTTTTAGCAAGGCACTATGAGCAGGATAAAAATTGGTACTGAGATTATCTAGTTTAACCCCTTATGTAGACAGATGAATCTGAGGCCCAGAGAGATTATAAACTGTCTTGCCCAAGGCCTTCTCTATAATGAGCCAGGACTTAAGTTTCTCTGCCATGCCCTGTGTCAAATACCAGTAAAGTACCTAAGCAATTTGCTATACTGGCTTTATGATGCCACACAAAATTAATTATGCATATTTGAAATATAGCTGCAAGATTTTGAAGCCTCTGTAATAGCGTATATCAGAACAGTTTAGGGAAAGATGTTTTCCTCATCAGAGTAGTCTGTATGATAATTGGGATTACAATATTATAGAGGCGAATTCTCTCCTTTTCTTAATTGTGTGCCATGTAGATGTGATCTCCACTTATGGGATTAGCAGATTTTTATAGGTTGGGAAGCCACTAACTGATCAACTTTAGTGTTATTTGAATGTTGACCACAGGAATACAGAGGCAGCCTGTGCAAGATCAGATCATGACTGCTCTGGGCTCCCTCTCCAGTGTTTGCTTTGTACCCTTCCTTCTAGGGCTGCTGTTACCATGTGATTCTTCTCAGGTCTCAGTCAGGCAGTAGAGAGGAAAGAGAGGTTTCTTAACAGCCTGTTTAAATCTTTTAGCTGTGATCATTTGTGAGGTAACTGATTTTTAAGAGAAGCTAGGACTGGGGTATTTTGATGGAACAATTCTTACAAGTAAATCCCCCCTACCCCTTGCATTTTTCTATTGACTATAGATGCTCCCTTTCTGGCTTCTTTCTGTCATGATGCCATGGCAATCGTCTTCTGCTGATAAGGGACCCTAATTTCAGCTGTAGGATATTATTGCTGTGGTTGTGTTTCAAGTCATTTGCCAAGTCTCTTTTAAGACATAGGTATTTCTAATAAGTTAAAACTCAGAGCTGCCTTCTCTCATCTGCTGGAATGGCCAGAAAGGGAGACTTTAAGTATAGATTTTAAAAATTGCAAGAAATGTGATTTTGGTTTAAAATTGGCTTAAAATATAGAAAAAAAAACCTTGGAGGACAGCTAACTCTGCACACAGTATGAAGATGGTTCTAGTTGTGTAGGTTTTGGTTAATTCATAAGCTCTTCAGATGGCCCGTCCTTTGTGTTGGTATCCAGCTCTTTCAGAAAATTGGTTGTTTTTATAACTCGATCAAAACATTTAAAAAAAAAAAAAATTGGTTGTTTTAAAGTCACAGTATGAAATGCCTTAGAGGTTCGGTCATGTCTTATTTGAGCCTTTCTCATTCTTCCCCTCCTCTCCTGTTGTTTTTCACCTGCTGCCTGGTGATTCCTACCTTTGTTCTTCTGCAGACTCTAGCAGTTGAAGTCTCTGTTGAGTATACTCTTATGTGAACAAACTTTGCTGTTTGGGACAGTTCAGTTTCTGGTCCTCCAGCAACCGGAGCAGTGGTTATCAACCCTGTTTCCAGTTTTTACTCTCATCTGGGGTACTTTTTAAAAATACTGATGGTAGTACAGTAAAAATGTTCATTCATCAAAAGACACCATTAAGAGAGTGAAAGGCCAACTCAGAGAGGAAGATGTTTGCTATGCTTTATAGTCGATGAAGGGCTTATACTGAGGTATATACAGAACTGCACATCAATAAAAAGACAGATGTGCCCAATTTAAAAATGAGCAAGAGACGAGCACTTCACAAAAGGTTGTATCCAGTGAAAAGTTGTTCAACCTTATTAATGATCTGGGGAATTTTAATTAAAACCATAATGGAATACCTCTACACATTCACCAGAGTGGCTAAAATTGAAGACTAGTGATGCCAGGTATTGGTAAGGATATGGAGCAATAGAATGCTCTTGCTCTTCTGTTGGGAGTGCAAATTGGTACAACTACTTTGGGAAATTATTTGCCATTATTTATTAAAGTTGAACATATATATATATAGCTCTTGACACACTGTTTTCACTCCCAGGGAAACAGCACAAATGTCCATCAACAGTAGAATGGATAAATTGTGGAATAATCTTATATTGAAACACTATACTGTAGTGAATATTAATGAACTATATCTAATAACATAGATAAATCTCACATAATATTGAGTGAAAGAAGACAGACAGAAAAGAACACATATTATATGATGCCATTTATACAGTGTTTCAAACCAGGCAAAATTAGCATGTGCTGTTAAATCTGGTTGGTAGTCACCTTATTGCCAGAGTGGCCGCTGACCAGAAGGAGGCACAAGGGGGCTTCTGGGATGCTGATAATGTGGGATGGGATTTGTTTTGTTTTTGGCCTCACGGCAGTTAAACTGAGATATTCATTTTGTGGCTGTTGACCTAGTTGGTACATTTATGATTTGTGCACGTTTACGTTTGCATGTTCTGCCTGAGTAAAGAGGTTTTAAAAAGATATTGATGGATACACAATTAATATAACTGCTAAAATAAGACTTGATGATACCAAGTGCTGGCAAGTATGCAGAATAACTGGAACTTCTAAACACTCAAGTGTGAATATAAAATGGCACCTCCACTCTGAAAAACTGGTGGTTTATTTCTTTTTATTTTTTTGAGATGGAGTCTCACTCTGTTGCCCAGGCTGGCATGCAGTCGTGCAATATTGGCTCACTGAAACCTCCACCTCCTGGGTTCAAGCCTTCCGAGTAGATGGGATTACAGGTGCCTGCCACTGTGCCCAGCTAATTTTTGTATTTTTAGTAGAGATGGGGTTTCACCATGTTGGCCAGGCTGGTCTCAAACTCCTGACCTCGTGATCGTCCCACCTCGGCCTCCCAAAGTGCTGGGATTACAGGCATGAGCCACCGTGTCTGGCCAAAACTGGTGGTTTCTAAGAGTCAAATATACACTTGTCCAGTAATTCGTATTCTCTCTCTCTCTATCTCTCTCTCTCTCTCTCTCCCTCTCCCTTTCCCTCTCTCTCATTCTCTCCCTCTCAATCCCTCTCCCTCCTTTCTTTTTCCTTCCTTCCTTCTTTCCTTCCTTCCTTCCTTCCTTCCTTCCTTCCTTCCTTCCTTCCTTCTTCCTTTTCGTTCTTTTCTGCCTTTTCTTTCTTTCCTCTCTTTCTCTTTTTTCTCTCTTTCAAGATGGAGTCTTGCTCTTGCTGCCCAGGCTAGAGTACAATAGCGCGATCTTGGCGCATTGCAACCTCTGCCTCCCAGGTTCAAGCAATTCTGCCTTTGCTTCCCAAGTAGCTGAGATTACAGGTATGCACCACCGCATCCGGCTAATTTCTTTATTTTTAGTAGAGACAGTGTTCCTCCATGTTGGTCAGGCTGGTCTCAAACTCCTGACCTCAAGTGACCTGCCTGCCTCGACCTCCCAAAGTGCTAAGATTACAGGTGTGAGCCACCACAGCCGGCCCAGTGATCCTATTTCTAGGTATTTATCCAAGATTAAGGAAAGTTTATGTTCTCACAGAAACTTGTATGTGAATGTTTGTAGTGGCTTTATTACTAATCACCAAAAGCTGGGAAAAAAGCAACTAGAGAATGGATAAACTGTGCTCCACTGGTACTACCTTCAATATTACTCAGCAATAAAATAAACAGCTGGTAATGCAACAGTGTGGATGAATTTCAGAGGCATTACACTAAGTGAGAGAAGCAAGCCTCAAAAGTGGAGACACTGATTCCATTTGTATTACATTCTGGGAAAGGGTAGAGAACAGATAAGTAGTTGCCTGGGAATGGGGGAAACCTTGACTACCAAGGGGCTTTGTATCCTTTGTATCCTGATACAGTTTGTATATAAAGGTAACTTTTAAAATACTGATAATTAGGTCCTATCTCAGACCAATTAACTCCCTTTGAGGGCCAAACCCAGGCACCCCTCTTTGTTTTAAACTTTCCCAAGTAGTTTTACTGTATATTCAGGGTTGAGAACCACTGAGCTATGTAAATTATCTAAAGCACTCCAAGAAAATACTGCCTTTTGGTTTTGAGTTTCCACTCTCTTCAATAAGTTTAAAAATAGCTGGACAGAAATTGAACATCAGGTGAAGTAGTAATTCCTGTCTACGTGGATGTGGGTCATCCCACCTTTTTCCCATTGGTGGCTGAGAGACATCAGGCAGACTTTTCTGGGTATCATTTTCTGCTGCTAACATTGTTCAAGTGGGTAGTTATGAAAACCAACATCAAGAAAGCCTTGAACAGAGCATGATTATTTAAACCATTGTATTTGAGATCATATCCAGCAGTACTTGATTGTTCTTATCAGCCATGGGATTTTTGTCCATTTCTAGTGTCCTATGAACAGACCTGACTCAGGGCTTTGGTTTAAATTGTGCCACTAGATGTCACTGAGAAGTGATGAATGGGTAAATGCACAAGGGGCCAAGGATAAAATGTGATGGGGAATTTTTGAGTTTATTTTCCAGCTTCTAAAAGGGCTCTGAAGGGGATGGGTTAATGTAGAGGATCTAGTGGAGGGCTGCAACATATCACGAAAGTTTGCCCCAGCTTCTGAGGAATTCTTACTCTCTTTAGCTCTGGGATGCTTCTGTCATCTCATTTATTTATTTATTTAACCTCTTCTTAGCTTTGGAGACTCTTAAAATTTCTGTACCTTGGCATTAGGTGGCCTTCTGTGTCTTATCCCTTTTCCTGAGACGTTTTTCCTGCATGTAACCTAAAATTGACTGTCCTGCTCTAAAATTGTACTCAGCTTCTTCTGGCCTCACCCCTCTCTTTTGTTATTTCTCTTATGTTGTTTCAGAATTCAGCAAAACTGATCACTCCCCATAGTTTCTCAGGCTGAACAGAAAGGATGTGAGGAGGTTTCCTGGATGCGCCAGGTTAGGCCCGATGTGCAGTGGGTTAACACTAGTCTTTCTGTATATATCTATGCAAGTCTTTGCAAACCAAGTTATATAAAGGTGGAAACAAGAGCCTAATGCCAAACCAGAGTTAAGATCTGATCTCTAGTTTCCCTTTACCCTCTGTGCCTTGTGGTCAAGCCCCTGTCCTTCATATTTGAGTTGACTGGGGATTTTTTTCTAGCTGAAAGTAGATAGCTGTAGTTGCCAGTGTAAACGTAAGTCTGAGTCCCAATTCAGAAGTGAGCTTCATCTCTGGCCTATCTCGCAAACTGAAGTCCATGATCTGGGTTAAAATGCCCACCAATGTATTTCACCTCTGAATCTTGAATTTGTTTCATGTCTATTTTAGGACCTATCATCTGCATTTAGCATCCCTTAGCTATCCCAGCTGCACATAATACTCCTTTGCATTTATAGGATATGCCATGTAATCCCACATTTACTTATTTGAGTCCTTGTGTTGTCTTTTCCACAGTCCGCTGCTGAAAGTTTTCTTGTCTTTTGTACTTAATATATTTGCCTTGCATGACATTGAGCATAGAATTGAACTGATTGTTGACGAATCAGTTGAACCAAGGCATAGTAATAGTAGTGAACAGTTATGAAATATGATGCCCAGGTACTGTCTAAATACATGCCGTGTTTTATCTCATTAAATCCACACAGACACCATGAGGGAGGGACTATTATTTTCCTCCATTTTAACCATGCAGCAACTGGGCCATAAAGAGGTCAAGAAACCTGCCCAACATCACCCAGCTGCTAAGTGATAGAGCCACATTACAAACCCAGGCAGCCTGACTCCAGGATGTGTATTCTTAATCTCGATACTATGACTTCATTAAAACCATAAAAGTAAATATTTTATTTATTTTGGAGGCAGAGTCTCATCTCTGTACTCTGTCACCCAGGCTGGAGTACAGTGACACGATCTCAGCTCACAGCAACCTCTGCCTCCCGGATTCAAGCTATTCTCATGCCTTAAACTCCCAGGTAGCTGGGATTACAGGCACCCACCACCATGACCAGCTAATTTCTGTATTTTTAGTAGAGATGGGATTTTGCTGTGTTGGCCAGGGTGGTCTTGAACTCCTGGCCTCAAGTGATCTGCACACCTCAGCCTCCTAAAGTATTGAGATTACAGTTGTAAGCCACCGCTCCCGGACAGGAAATATTTATTAAGCATTTGTTATGTGTAAGTTATTGTGCTAAGTGATTTACATGCATTATCTTATTCATTCCTCACAGGAACAGTATGAGGTAGGTACCGTACTATCCCTATTCTGCAGACAAAACTGAGGCATGGAGAGGTTAAGTAAATTGCCAAACACCATGCAGACTGTGAACCTGCATCTGAGTCCAGAGCTCCAGCTTTTAACTGCTATCCTGTATTGCCCATATACCCCTGTTGGTATTAATTGGGTCAGATCCTACCTGCCATTTGACCCCAGTACAGGATATATTACTCTGTTTTCTTTTGGTTTATGTGTGCTTGCTCTTTCACCAGTGTGTTAAGGATCCACATCCAGAGATAGTATTTGAGCCTACTTCATGGACCTCACCCTTAGATACTGCTTTCTTCACTAATCGCATTTTTTCTAGTTTTGGGACATTGCCTTATTGCCTCCAGTTTAGGTCAGTAGGAACTATCCAGTTTCCGTTTCCTTTCATGCTATTGTATGTGTTTGAGTAAATTAACCACCAATAATGTAAGGTGATTCCTGCCTGTGACGTGGCAGCTCTCTGTGGAGGCATGAATGTGAAATATAGGTAAAAAGCCAAAGCACTGCTTGACAAATGCTGTTTCTAAGGATGGTAGTTTATGATTCTTTCTTTTCAGTTTGTTATCAAGAGTTTTCCTTCTGAAAAGGCAGAAGGTTTTAGAGTAGCAGGAGAGAGATTCTATTAAGAGGATGAAAATCATGAAGCTTATTTCTTTCTTTAACTTTCTCCAGAGTCTGAATGGTGTTTGGCTGAACAGACAGCGTCTGGAACCTTTAAGAGTCTATTCCATTCATAAGGGAGACTACATCCAACTTGGAGTGCCTCTGGAGAATAAGGAGAATGCGGAGTATGAATATGAAGTTACTGAAGAAGACTGGGCGACGATATATCCTTGTCTTTCCCCAAAGAATGACCAGATGATAGAAAAAAATAAGGGATTGAGAACTAAAAGGAAATTTAGTTTGGATGAATTAGAGGGTCCTGGAGCTGAAGGCCCCTCAAATTTGAAATCCAAAATAAACAAAGTGTCTTATGAATCTGGTCAGTCAGTGAAATCACAGGGGAAAGGTGAAGTGGCCAGTATACCCTCTGAAAATTTAAATCCTAAGTTGGCTGCCCTTGAGCCAAATAAGAAGACCACAGGGCCTCCCATTTACCCTGGCTTCCCCAAAGTCACAGAGGCTCAGCAGAAAGCCTCAAACTCTTCAGCATCTCAGAGCAGCTTACAGCTGTTTAAGGTGACCATGTCCAGGATTCTGAAGCTGAAAATACAGATGCAGGAAAAACAAGAAGCTGTTAGGAATGTGAAAAAGCAGACCCAAAAGGGGAACTCAAAGAAAATTGTGAAAATGGAGCAGGAACTGCAGGACTTGCAGTCCCAGCTGTGTGCAGAGCAGGCTCAGCAGCAGGCAAGAGTGGAGCAACTAGAGAAGACTTTCCAGGAAGAGGAACAGCATCTTCAGGTACCACATCCTTCAGGAAGGAAAGGGCAAGAGTGGTCATCAGGGGTGGGGCAGGCACTTCATGAGCCTCTGGCCAGAGTTCTCAGTTTCTGGGCCAGGCACCAAATTCTGAGCACCAAAGACAGGAAATGGAATGGGAACAGTAAACTCTTGAGATGAGGGAATTGGGTTGAGTAAAGGGTTAAGGCTTCAGCACGCTGATGAGATCAGGAGCCGGAGTTGGGGCGCTAAGATAGGGTAAAATATCCAGGAGAGCCAGTGAGGACATATCCCAGGATGCAAAGCTGAGTCAACTCAGAACCAACATGAATTCAGGGGAAGGTTAGGTGAAGGTCAAGATGCCACAAAACCACAGTATAGCCCAATTAAATCAATAGTTGTCTTCAGGACTTACTTATCTTTTCTCTGGGCCAAGGCCAGATCACTTAGTCCCAGGGCAGGTACAGGTCAGCTGGTTCCTTTGCCCTTGTACCTGACAGTTTGTTAGCTAGAAAGGTTAGTTAACTCTGTAGCTAACCCAGGAGGTAAGAAGCTAAAAAGGCAGAAAATGTTTTTGTTTCTATTTTGAGCAGCTAGCATGTGATGGGACAGATGCACCATGGCTGCATTGTTGAGTTGAATGATAAACCACTTTCCGCAGGGCCTATAGTAGGAAGATAAAATAATGGCTGTCTTAGCTGTATAAAGACCAAATGTGTTCCCATCCCTGAGTCATTTGCTTAGATGACATGCTCTTGCACAAAGCTTTAGGCTAGAGCAGATCCTGTCCCTGCCCAAAATGTCATTTCCTATCTGTCAGGAACCACATGTTTTACTCCCACCCAGTGGTTCAGGTAATATTGAATGTCAGAAATTCCCCATTGTTTACTTAGAACTCAGATGGACCAGTCACCATTGAAGTGAACAAGCTTTTTGTTTGGGTTGCTCAGGGTAAGGAACAACCAGCGGTAGTGTTGGCTTATTTCTGAGCAATTTATAAATGTCATTCTGATCTCTGCCATCCCCTTGAACTGGTAGCATTAGCAAAGGCCATGGATTAAATAGGACTTTCGAGAGTATACACTGCTTATTTGTGGGTACCTTTTTGCTTCCCTTATTCAGCCTAGACTAGTTCTTGAAATTAATAGAGGGGGGTTTATGTCTACATATTTAGATGTAGACCTTCACACCTTCACTGGGACAGAACTCTCTGTAAAGGCTAATATTGTTCAGGGACAAGTTACTGTTGATTAATATTTGTGGCTTCTCTGGACATGCTTCAAGGTATAGCTGCAAAGTCTTTTTCTGTACCAAAATGTTAAAGGCAAAAGGACTGGTTTCGAGAATTTCTCTGGGTATGAGTAGGTTGTATATTTATTGCTCATAGTGAAGTGTATCTAGTCCCTTGTTGATCAGCTGCATCTCCCTCTGTCCACCAAGCCCTAGGGATTTATCCTACCTGCTACCACTTGTTTAGAAGTTCATTAAACTCTTGCTGCTTCACACTTATTTTTTTTTAATTTTTAATTTTTTTATTGCATTTTAGGTTTTGGGGTACATGTGAAGAACATGCAAGATTGTTACATAGGTACACACATGGCAGCATGATTTGCTGCCTTCCTCCCCATCACCTATATCTGGCATTTCTCCCCATGCTCTCTCTCCCCAACTCCCCACCTCCTGCTGTCCCCCGCCACTTCCCCCCGACAGACCCCAGTGTGTGATGCTCCCTTCCCTGTGTCCATGTGTTCTCGTTGTTCAACACCCACCTATGAGTGAGAACATGCAGTGTTTGATTTTCTGTTCTTGTGTCGTTTTGCTGATAATGATGGTTTCCAGGTTCATCCGTGTCCCTACAAAGGGCACGAACTCATCGTTTTTTTATGGCTGCATAGTATTCCATGGTGTATATGTGCCACATTTTCCCTGTCCATTCTATCATTGATGGGCATTTGGGTTGGTTCCAGGTCTTTTCTATTGTAAACAGTGCTGCAGTGAACATTCGTGTGCATGTGTCCTTATAATAGAATGATTTATAATCCTTTGAATATATACCCAGTAATGGGATTGCTGGGTCAAATGGAATTTCTATTTCTAGGTCCTTGAGGAATCGCCACACTGTCTTCCACAGTGGTTGAACTAATTTACACTCCCACCAACAGTGTAAAAGTGTTCCTATTTCTCCACATCCTCTCCAGCATCTGTTGTCTCCAGATTTTTTAATGATTGCCATTCTGACTGGTGTGAGATGATATCTCAATGTAGTTTTGATTTGCATTTCTCTAATGACCAGTGATGATGAGCATTTTTTCATATGTTTGTTGGCCTCATGTATGTCTTCTTTTGTAAAGTGTCTGTTCATATCCTTTGCCCACTTTTGAATGGGCTTGTTTGTTTTTTTCTTGTAAATCTATTTTAGTTCTTTGTAGATTCTGGATATCAGCCCTTTGTCAGATGGGTAGTTTGCAAAAATTTTTTCCCATTCTGTTGGTTGCCGATTCACTGTAATGACTGTTTCTTTTGCTGTGCAGAAGCTGTGGAGTTTGATTAGGTCCCATTTGTCTACTTTGGCTTTTGTTGCCAATGCTTTTGGTGTTTTGGTCATGAAGTCCTTGCCTATGCCTATGTCCTGAATGGTTTTGCCTAGATTTTCTTCTAGGGTTTTTATGGTGTTAGGTCTTATGTTTAAGTTTTTAATCCATCTGGAGTTAATTTTAGTGTAAGGTGTCAGGAAGGGGTCCAGTTTCTGCTTTCTGCACATGACATGGCTTGCCAGTTTTCCCAACATCATTTATTATACAGAGAATCCTTTCCCCATTGCTTGTTTTTGTCGGGTTTGTCAAAGATCAGATGGTTGAAGATGTGTGGTGTTGCCTCCGAGGCCTCTGTTCTGTTCCATTGGTCTATATCTCTGTTTTGGTAGCAGTACCATGCTGTTTTGATTACTGCAGCCTTGTAGTATAGTTTGAAGTCCAGTACTGTGATGCCTCCAGCTTTGTTCTTTTTTTTTTAAATTGACTTGGCTATGCGGGCTCTCTTTGGTTCCATATGAAGTTTAAGTTGTTTTTTTCCAATTCTGTGAAGAAGTTTGGTAGCTTGATGGGGATAGCGTTGAATCTGTAAATTACTTTGGGCAGTATGGCCATTTTCACAATATTGATTCTTCCTAAACATGAGCATGGAATGTTTCTTCATCTGTTTGTGCCCTCTCTTATTTAGTTGAGCAGTGGTTTGTAGTTCTCCTTGAAGAGGTCCTTTACATTCCTTGTTAGTTGTATTCCTAGGTATTTTATTCTCTTTGTAGCAATTGTGAATGGCAGTTTGTTCTTGATTTGGCCCTCTTTAAGTCTGTTATTGGTGTATAGGAATGCTTGTGATTTTTGCACATTGATTTTGTATCCTGAGACTTTGCTGAACTTGCTTATCAGTTTCAGGAGGTTTCGGGCTGAGACGATGGGGTCTTCTAGATATACAATCATGTCGTCTGCAAAGAGAGACAATTTGACTTCCTCCTTTCCTATTTGAATGCCCTTTATTTCTTTTTCTTGCCTGATTGCTCTGGCTAGAACTTCTAGTACTATATTAATAGGAGTGGTGAGAGAGGGCATCCTTGTCTAGTGCCAGATTTCAAAGGGAATGCTTCCAGTTTTTGCCCATTCATTATGATATTGGCTGTTGGTTTGTCATAAATAGCTTTTATTATTTTGAGATACGTTCCATCCGTACCTAGTTTATTGAGGGTTTTTAGCATAAAGGGCTGTTGAATTTTGTCAAAGGCCTTCCCTGCATCAATTGAGATAATTGTATGGTTTTTGTCTTTGGTTCTGTTTATGTGGTGAATTACGTTTATAGACTTCTGTATGTTGAACCAGCCTTGCATCCCCAGGATGAAGCCTACTTGATCACGGTGGATAAGCTTTTTGATGTGCTCTTGCAATCGGTTTGCCAGTATTTATTGAAGATTTTTACATCTATGTTCATCATGGATATTGGCTTGAAGTTTTCTTTTCTTGCTGAGTCTCTGCTGGGTTTTGGTATCGGAATGATGTTGGTCTCATAAAATGATTTGGGAAGGATTCCCTCTTTTTGGATTATTTGGAATAGTTCAGAAGGAATGGTACCAGCTCCTCTTTGTATGTCTGGTAGAATTTGGCTGTGAACCCATCTGGACCTGGGCTTTTTTTGGGTGGTAGGCTATTAATTGCTGCCTCAACTTCTGCCCTTGTTACTGGTCTATTCATGGTTTCGACTTTTTCCTAGTTTAGGCTTGGGAGGATGCAAGTGTCCAGGAATTTATCCGTTTCTTCCTGGTTTACTGGTTTCTGTGCGTCGAGTTGTTTGTAATAATCTCTGATGATGGTTTGTATTTCTGTGGAATCTGTGGTGATATCCCCTTTATCGTATTTTATTGCATCTATTTGATTATTCTCTCTTTACTTTTTTATTAATCTGGTTAGTGGTCTATTTTGTTGATCTTTTCCAAAAACCAGCTCCTGGATTTATTGATTTTTTGAAGGGTTTTTTATGTCTCTTATCTCCTTCCGTTCTGCTCTGATCTTAGTTATTTCTTGTCTTCTGCTAGGTTTTGAGTTTTTTTGATCTTGCTCCTCTGGCTCTTTCAACTTTGACGATAGGGTGTTGATTTTAGATCTTTCCTTGCTTCTCATGTAGGCATTTATTGCTATATATTGTCCTCTAGACACTGCTTTAAATGTGTCCCAGAGATTCTGGTACATTGTGTCGTCGTTCTCCTTGTTTTGAAGAACATCTTCATTTCTGCCTTCATTTCATCGTTTATCCAGTCTACATTCAAGAACCAGTTGTTCAGCTTCCATGAAGCTGTGCGGTTCTGAGTTAGTTTCTCAGTTCTGAGTTCTAACTTGATTGCACTGTGGTCTGAGAGGCTGTTACGATTTCCATTCTTTTGCATTTGCTGAGGAGTGATTTACTTCCAATTATGTGGTCAGTTTTAGAGTAGGTGTGATGTGGTACTGAGAAGAATGTGTATTCTGTGGATTTGGGGTAGAGAGTTCTGTAAATGTCCATTAGGTTTGCTTGGTCCAGGCTTGAGTTCAAGTCCTGGATATCCTTGTTAATTTTCTGTCTTGTTGATCTGTCTAATATTGACAGTGGAGTGTTAAAGTCTCCCACTATTATTGTGTGGGAGTCTAAGTCTCTTTGTAAGTCATTAAGAACTTGCCTTATGTATCTGGGTGCTCCTGTATTGGGTGCATATAT